AGTTGGTCCTTGTTCATATCCTCGAGGGTCTTACTAGATTTCTTGAGGGTCTCACTAAATTTATTGGCGGTTTCTAGAAAATTCTTGAAAAACCTTATAAGTTTGGTTTTGAACTCTATATCCAGTAGTTTGCTTTCCTCCATTTCTGTCATTTGTGACCTGTTTCTTTGTCTCAGCATTTTTTATGCTTCCCTGTGTTGGTAAAGTGGCTTTCTGTGCTAGGTGTCCTGTAGGGCCCAGTGGCTCAGCCTCCTAATTACCTGAGGTGGACACTCTTGGTGCACCTCTGTGGACTTTGTGCACAGTCTTGTTTTAGTTAAGCCTTGATTGTTGTAGGTATCACTGGGAGGAATTGACCTCCAGGCCCATTGGCTGAGAGAATTAGCTGTGTCTACAGTGGGAGAACTTCTGTGCTGGAGACACCCTTCTGGGGCAAGACTTGCTTCAGTGGGGCTTTGGTGCTCACTGAGTATTCCCCCTGAGAGTGTCCCTTATGGATCTGAGGAGTTATAATCTGGATGGTTCCACTCTGACCACTGGGTACACTGGCTTTTGGATCTCTAAGGAGGTGCTAATTTAGCCTCTACCTGGGCCTACCCAGCAGGAGCTATTGAGAGATATGCAGATTCCTCTTCTTTGTTTGGGATTTAGAGGTGCCCAGATGAGGCCCAGCTGTGAAGCAATGCAAGCTGCTGTGGGGCCTTGGGCCTTCTTTTGGAAGTTCTGGGTCTCTCTGACCCAGCTGCAATTTGTTAGGTAATTTTAAGATTGCAAAGGGCCCGGCCTTTCATATGCAAAAGCCTCTGCATACAGCTTGGTTGGGGCGGGGTTTCAGGGAATCAACAAGGCAGAAGAAACAGCTATAGCTGATATTCAGTCCTACCCTAAGAAGCCCCGTGTCTCAGTGTCCCGGTAATCCCTGCAAGCACCTCTGAGAGAAAGCCGCCCTCAAGTTACGAGCGATGCCAGACAGTCCAGTTTCTCCCCATATGAGTCTGGGTCCCCAGAGACTTGCCTGGAACTGGAGTTCAGAGCAGTTGGGAGCTTGTGACTCCCTCCCGATTGAAAAAGTCAACCGCGTCCTCAGTTGCCAGCCCTTTCCGTACTCAGCCCTCGGTACCTGTGCACTTTACTTCTGCACCTCCTCAGTGTGCTTTTCTCTTTCCTTCTAGTTGTAGAATTTCCACTCAGCCAGCCTTCCTGTGGTTCTGGGTGATGTCTGTTTTGTCTTTTAGTTGTATTTTTGAAGTGGTTGTGCGAGGCAACAATTTCAGGTGTTTACCTATGCTGCCATCTTGGTTTCTCCATAAATATACTGATTAATTTCATTTGTAAATATTTTGAGATTTTTGCATTTATGTTCTTAAATGAGGTAAACTATAAGGTATTTTAAAAAGATATTTCTATTTATCTTTACATTGTTATGTTACCCAATTAAAATATGTTGAGAAATTTCTTTAAAGTGTTTGTATTATGAAATATTTCAACTGTAGAAAAAGTGTGCATCACTCAGATTCTTCAAAATTTAATATTTTTCATATAGCCCTCAGATTGTTTAAATAAATAGAAAATTGCAAGGAAAGTACAGGCCTCCTTTGTACTTCTTTCCAATAATTTCCTCCCTCCTCAGATGTGAATAATATTCTGAATTCGGTGTTTATTATTGTTATCTTTTCATACCAGTACTTTTAATTATATAATTTTAAACCTAAAAGGTTGTAAAAAAATATTTTTCAGGCTTTCCCATTTCACATTAACTGTCTAGCTAGTATATTTGTGAAGTCTCTGGAGCAGATATAGTCTTGGTTTGTAATTTCCAACTATAATAATGAAATATTCTATTTTTATTCTCAGTTCTGTTAGTTTTTTGTTTTATGTCCTTTGAAGTTTTGTCATTAGTGTGTACTTTTATGTCTTCGGAGGAACTTGACACTTTTATTATGAAGTAATCCTCTTCCGCTAATATTTCTTGTTTTGAGGTCTACCATGTCTGATATAATTATAGCCTCTCCAGTTTTTTATGATTCGTATTTGCATGTTATATCTTCTTTCAGCCTTCTACTTTAACCTATTTATGTCTTTATACTTAAAAGTATATTTTTTATAACAATCATACAGTAAGATCTTGTTTTTCTTCTGCAGTTTGACAATCTGTCTTTCAATTTAAATGTTTAGAACCATTTACATGTAATTATTGATATGATTTGGTTTATATTTATAATGTTGTTATTTGGTTTTTATTTGTCACATTTGTTTCTTTTTTCTCTTTACTAGTCTTTTATTACTTTTTTAGCATTTCATGTTATTCCATATGATTTGCTTATTTATCTCTTTGTTTTATTATTTTAGTGACTGCTATATTGTTTATAATATGCATATTTAACTTATCTCAGGAAATAATATACCATTTCACATATAGTATAAGGGCCTTATAGCAATATATTTTTTCCTTTTTCCATCAGTGTACTATTATTAATGCACTAGAGGCCTGGTGCATGAAATTCATGTGCCGGTGTCGGGGGGGGGGGGGGGTGATGTCCCTCAGCCCGGCCTGCACCCTCTCCAATCCGGGACCCCTTGGGGGAGGATGTCCAACCGGTTTAGACTGGCAGTCCGACATGCCTCTCGCAATCTGGGACTGCTGTCTCCTAACTGCCTGCCTGATCTCCCCTAACCCCTCTGCCTGCCTGCCTGATTTCCCCTAACCACCCCTGCCTACCTGATTGCCCCTAACCACATCTGCCTGCCTGCCTGATTGCCCCTAACTGCTCCCCTGCTGGCCTGATCATCCCTAACCACCTCTGCCTCAGACCCACACCTGGGACTCAGGATTCCCTCCTCCAGCTAGCCACAGGCACCCGGGACCCGGGCCAACTTCGCCCGGGCCGGTCACAACCACAGGGAACTGTGGGCGGGTGGCTTCACCCAGGCTACAGCCGCAGGACCCTGGGACCGCGGGGCGGTGGGCTTTTTTCTTTCTCCTGGGCCGCAGGCACTGGTGCCTGGGACCGTGGGGTGGGTGGCTTTGCCCCATCCTGGCTTTGTCAGGAAGGACATCTGGAAGGTTGTTCGAAAGCCATCCAGTCTAATTAGCATATTACCCTTTTATTAGTATAGATACTTCACATGTATATATGTTACAAATCTCAATACATTATTTTGTATTTAAACAGCTAATTACATTTTATTTTTATTTTATTTTTTTAAAATATATTTTATTGATTTTTTACAGAGAGGAAGAGAGAGGAATAGAGAGTTAGAAACATCGATCAGCTGCCTTTTGCACACCTCCTACTGGGGATGTGCCCGCAACCAAGGTACATGCCCTTGGCCGGAATCGAACCTGGGACCTTTCAGTCCACAGGCCGACGCTTTATCCACTGAGCCAAACCGGTCAGGACGAGCTAATTACATTTTAAAGAAATAATTAAAAACCAAAAAGTGTCTTTTATTTACCCACATTTTTATCATTTTACCATTTATTTCCATTGTGAACATTTAAGTTTTAATCTGATATAATTTTCTGTCTGCTTAAAGAATTTCCTTGAATATTTCTTATAATGCAGGTTTGATGATGCTTAATATTTTCCCCTTTTGTTTGCTGAGAAAGTAGTTCACCTTTGGTTTTGAAAGATATTTTTCTACATATAGAATTCTATGTGGACAATTGTGTTTTTTTCAGTGCAAATATTCTAGAATATGTTGCTTCCTTATCTTCTGGCTTCTATAGTTCTGACAAAAAGTCTGTAGCATTAATTTGTGGTAATTAGTCACTGGTAATTCTTTGTTTATTTATACTTAATGTTTCTCTGGATATTTATAAGATTTTTTTCTTTATTGCTGGTTTTTATAATTTTGATTATAATGTGCTTGGCACAATGTTTTTTGTGTGTTTCTGCTAAGAGTTCATGGAGCTTCTTGCAGTATGAGGTTTATAGTTGTCATAAAATTTGGAATCTTTGGGCCATTTTTTGTACAAATATTTTCTGCTCTCTCCACACCCTCTTTCTGGAACTCTAATTAAAATGTATGTTAGAGTGAATATTTGTTTCAGTTTTTATATCTCTCTGTAAATCATTTTGAATAGCTTCTATTCCTACGTCTTAATGAACTGATATTTTCTTCTGCAATGTCTTCTTTGCTATTAATGCCACCCAATGAAAATTTTTTTCAAAAAATGTATGTTTTTGTAGATGTTCCATTTGGTTTTTATTTTATACCATACACTTAATCCTCCTTATGTTTATCTTTTTGAATATTTATAGTATTTGTATTATATGCCTTGATGATTTTTAAAATTGACATTATTTTAATTATTTCTTTTTTTTCCTTCAAGGATATTTCTTTAATGGGAAAAATGTACTGGGACAGATCATCTCACATGCAAACAGAACAAGGGTTACAGATAAGTACCGAGGAACCTCAAATGGTAAATACCTTCTTTAATAAAAATCTTCCTTGCCTATATTAAAGTAATAGTCTGCCTCCTGTTGCTTGAATGTTAGGGAGTTTTTAAAATCTCCTTTAATGTGTTTTAGAGGTGTGTTTAACTGTAAGCACACCTAATCCAGTAGCACATTGAGAGTCTTGGATATTTTGGATCACTGTTGCTGCCTATCAAAGACCTTCTCAGCTAATGTCCCAAACATTCGTATCGTCTCATTTCAGCATCTCTCATATCTGTTTTTTTCCTACTTATTTTTCTCCTGGTTGTATATTATATATTTATGATTTTTCTATAATTAATAACTTCTGATTGAATGATGAAAATTATAGTACTGGATTTGGTTGTTTCCTTTTAAAAAAGTGTTAGAGTTTAATCTAATAGGCAGTTAAGCTACCTGAAGATTACCTGTATCTTTTTAAGTATCATTTAAAATGTTCAAGTTCAGAGGAGCCTTAATCTGGAGCTCATTTAGCACTGCTACTAATGTACGACCCTTCTAAGGTTTATGATGAATGTACCATGTACTCTGTCTGTCTGGTGGAAGAGCTAGTGATTCCCAGCTTGTGTGAGCTCTGGGAATTGTGGCTTACAGCTTTTTGGTAATTGTCCCTTCCCTCCACCCCCATTGGCAGTTTTTCTTTGTCTGGCCTCATGGATTTCACCATTGCACGTGAAAATTGGTATTCAGCCAAAGAGTCAAGGACTCTTTGGGGGTTTCTGCAGATTTCTGAAGCCTCTTTCTCCATACTGTGCCTAACAAATTCTACCCTCTTTGTCTTCTTATTCTAATTTCTGTCTCTTCAACTCAGTAAGACACTGGGCGCTGTATGGTTTCCCCTTCATTGTGTCATGTTCTGGAGATTGTGTAAAGCAGAAATCTGGGGTAATTTAGCTCTTAACCTTTTTTTGCATCCATATTCTTAGTCATCATAGTCTTGCATTGCCTGTTGTTCTTACATTTTGTTCAGTTTTATAGTTATTTATGACAAGAGGGTAGAGTAGAAGTCAGTGGTCTCAGATGGATTTTTTTTGTAATGTAGCAAAGAAAAGGTAGGAAAACAGAGTTTTAAAGCACAATAAAGGTCCATATATTGCTATTGACATTATTAAAAGGCTAGGGCAGAAAAGTCATGTATGAATATAAAACTGAAGTGAAGGGAAGCAAAATAACTTCTGTTGATGCTTAATCTGTGTCTTTACAGTTTGGGTAGAAGTTGGGTCTCTTTATTCCTATCCAGTGTTAGATATTGTGCTGTGCTGTCTTCTTACCATTTCAGCTGTGTAGAGAGTATAATATAGAATTTAGCGTTAGTAATAACAAAAATGACACTAACAGTTATACCTTTTAAACTTTAAGTATGTTCATATTATTTCTTGCTCTTGGTTAGATTAAATTTTAGCTTTGATTTTATCTTTCTTGTGTAAATATTTAATAGCAGTGATTTACAGTATCTGACTTAATATTACCTAATTGTCTTATTCAATCTGATAATATATCTATAGAGATCAATGATTTTAAAAGCCATAACATTGGAATAATAGACAACATGTTTTATTGTATCTTTTTTTTCTGTATTTCTCATTTCATGCATAATATTGACTTGCTTATATTTCTCTTTTATATAGTCCTCATTTACTGAACTATATTGACTAGCATTTTGCTGCATTGAATAATATGCCTTGATGATTTTTAAAATTGACACTATTTTAATTATTTATTTTTTTCCTTCAAGGATATTTCTTTAATGGGGAAAATGTACGGGCACAAATCATCTCCAGTGCAAACAGAGCAAGGATTAGAGATAAGTATTGAGGAACCTCAAATGGTAAATACATTCTTTAATAAAAATCTTCCTTGCCTATATTAAAGTAATAGTCTGCCTCCTGTTGCTTGAATGTTTATCTAGGGGTTTTTGAAAAATCTCCTTTAATGTGTTTTAGAGGTGTGTTTAACTGTAAGCACACCTAATCCAGTAGCACATTGGGAGTCTTGGAATTTTGGATCACTGTTGCTCCCTATCATAGAAGACTTTCTGAGCGAAGGTCCCAAACATTTTTCAGAGGGAAAGATTTTAACAGTTCTTTTGGTCTAGAGGCATTCAGATCCAGAAGATAGTTGGAGAATTAATTAAAAGTATTAGCTTCTAGCCCTCAGTGGTTTGGCTCAGTAGATAGAGCATCGATCTGTGGACTAAATGTCCTGGGTTTAATTCTAGTCAAGGGCACCAAAAAAAAAAAAAAAAAGTATTAGCTGTCTTAGCTTCTATGAATGTATCACATTATTCTTTATTTAGCTAGAAGAATTGTGAAAAACATTGACAAGGGGATAACTTTGTAGAGTAATATGGACAGTTGTGTCAGAAGTTTGTTTCAGAAATAAAGCTCTTTTTCCTCCATCATCGTCAAAATACTTATGGGATTCAAAGCAGTCTAGAACATGTTCCATGTGAATGGGAAGTGTCTCTCTGTATATAGAGATCCACATTTATGTAAAACAATGGTGGTGCAATGATCACTTCCCTTAGAAAAGATTTATAAGGTATTGAATAGAAAGCTCCAATAGTTAGTTCCTGAAAATATGATTCCACATGCATAATAATTTAGATCTAACTTTGTTTTTAGGCTAATATATTATGTTCAGAAAGTGTATGGAATATTTTCACAAAAGCCATTGATCCTATAATTTTAGAGTTATTTTAAATGATTGAACTACCGGAAATCGAGACACTTCTGGGTCTAGACCATGTCTTTTCCCCCTTGTAGTCACATCACCTGCCTCAGACCCCAGCATGTGTGGCATTAATATGATAAATCAATTTTGAAGCCTTACCATATGTCCTATGGGCTTAATACTGTCTTTGAGTATAGTTCCTCTAGGTTTCTCTACATTCACAGTTTGACATGAAAACCTCTGACCTCTAAGTTTCTAACAGGTATAATAAACTGAAAATATAATATGAGGTTTAGAAAAATAGAAATCATCACTAATAGAATAAATGACAATACCATTCACTACATATTTATATAAAGTATAAGGAAAGATACCATAGTGAAGAAAACTATGAAAAAGGCCAATTTTCAGGTGCCTGGCTTAGACATCATCTTGATGATATAAAATAAAGATTTGAACAAAAATATTGATTTATTTGTAATTCTATGGGTATTGGTAATACCTTCAGCTTTGACATTTATGAGCAATCACTGGACCTCTTCTAGCTACTGGCTTTTTAAAATGAAGCTTACCACTTCTTTTTTTTAAAAAAAATCTTTATTGTTGAGATTATCATAGATGTCCCTCTTCCCCCCACCCCCACCATAGCTCCCCACTACCCGGTTCCCACCCCACCCCAGGCCCTTGCCACCCTATTGTCTGTGTCCATAGGTAATGCATACATGCATATAAGATCTTTGTCTAATCTCTTCCCGCACCCCCTACACCCCCTTCCCTCTGAGAATCGTTAGTCTGTTCTATATCCATGCCCCTAATTCTATTTCATTCACCAGTTTATTCTGTTCATCACATTTCTTATTCATTTGATTTTTAGATTCACTTGTTTTTTTTAATTAAATCTTTATTGTTCAGATTATTACAGTTGTTCCTCTTTTCCCCCCATAGCTCCCCTCCACCCAGTTCCCACCCGACCCTCTGCCCTTACCCCTCCCCCCGGCCAATGTCCTCATCCATAGGTGTACAATTTTTGTC